TGAACATGTACCCAGATGGCTGCAGAAACAAATATAATCAAGTGACCCAATAAGAACAGAGGGTAAACATGCATCATCTTCTATTGCTAAACACTTAGGTGAAACAAGGCATAAGATTGATCTAAACTAGGCTTTTGTGGTATTGTATAAAAGTGTAAAACGGTGTATACTAAGGGTTATTGAAGCCTTAGCCATACGAAAATTCAAACCCTCTTGGTGTATTCAAAAACAGTTTGTTCTCACCTTAAACCTACCCTGGTCACATTGGCTTAATATCCCGAGTGATTAGGTTTCAAATTGTGTTCACATTATTACTCTTATTATTTGTCTTGTCTCCCCTTACCCCATTTCAAGTCTAGTTGACCTTTTATTTTTTATATATAAATGCTCTTAACAAGTATATGTGTGATCAGATTGTTCGAAATGTACTGCGCTAATACGTCACATAGTTCTGATAATCTTCGTCTTCTTATTATATCATCGAAATTTATCAAAGGGACTAATTGATTTAATCTAGGGTATGGTTAAACTAAGTTCATTTGTCTAGACTGTCTCCCTTGATGGATGATTTGGTTTAGTATGCATGCAACATACAATTATACACATTTTTAAGATTTTTTAAACAAATTTAGGAGTACAAAACACAGTAGTGATCATTTTCAGTTTATCATTAAAACAGACTGGCGGTACATACATCTCCGAAATACGTAAGTCTTGGATATTGATGATGACCTCGTTAGAGAAACTGGAGACAGGCCAGCTGAATGCACTCAATCGTGCATCCGTACCACATCGCGAATGGGTACACTGTGTGACACATCCATTGCAACTACTACCCAGCATATCGATGACCATCTAAATACACCTTTTAACTCATTCATTTCTAACTTATGTTTTGACTGGGTTGAGATCCTTCGATTACAAAGATGTTGCAGACAAAAGCGTTGTCAAACCCTGAATATATATGGTATCTTTAACAGGTTAACTACAGACTACTTCGTGTAACACTTAAGAATGATACCTAAGAAGAGGATATCCTGCTAGCTAGTCATCTACTGAAATCCGATGGGAACGTCAGAATACTGCCTGATATACCGTATTCTGAGCGCAATTTCATCCGGAACATCCCTAAAAATGTCGAGAGAAGTTTTTCCGCGCAAGAAATATCATCATGCAAGGTGTACCGGAAAACACAGACCCTAACCAAGCAAACTGACATTCGGGAATGAAAATTCATCAAACAGTCCGTGAGGCTCAAAAACATACTGACTCAGCATGCGATGAGACTAGCCAAGAAGGACGGGGACCCTAGACCCCGACTAATGAGGATAACTTTTCCATCCTCCCATATGGCGGCTGCAGCTCTGGAAGCATTTCGTGTCAACAGACGTCGGTTGCCAACTAGGATCCACATGCACCCGGACAGGCCATACGACGCCAGGATCAAGCACAAAGGCAAGCTGGAGCCGACCATTCCACTTGTGGACTGTCTTCAAGACAAAAAAATGTGTAAAGGACAGGGCCTACCAATTCGGCAAACCTTATATAGGTAGGTTACCTTACTCACGTAAGGCTTACACAGACAAACAGGAAGAAGCTCACGCGTTTCAAATTGAAAGCATTAACTGCTTATACATGAACGCCGCGAGTCTACCAAACAAAATGTATGAGCTACGTGAACTTAGTAATGCTAATAAGGTTCATCTCATAGGAATATCTGAAACTTGGATATCTCAGTTTTCGGACCAGGAGCTAGCAATACCTGGGGTGTCTTTGTTTCGCAACGACAGAAAAACAGGAATTGGGGGTGGAGTAGCCCTATACATACGATCTGGCTTGGAGGTACACCAAGTTCACAATCATGAGTTCAATAACCTTGAGGAATCCATATGGTGCTCTGTAAGATTCTCCACTACTTCGAAGTGCCTAGTCGGAGTCATATATAGAAAGCCCACTGCCGACATCGAGTATGACAGTCGCATGCTGGAAGGACTATCCCGCTCTATGCGTCTCGGCTTCACTCATATCCTGATTCTAGGGGACTTCAATCTCCCTAGAGTCAACTTCGCGGAACATACTTATACTGGAGGTAAAAATTCAATTGAAGCTCAGTTCTTCAACCTCATTGAGGATTTGGGATTATACGAAACTGTGAAGTTGGCTACTCGTTGGAGGAACAGTCAGACACTGTCGCGCCTAGACTGTTTTTACGAACGAAGAATTCCTAGTTGACAACCTCTCAATCTTGGTTCGCCTGGACAAAAGCGATCACACTGTCATAGCCTTCAGTTTCGTCAGCAAAACTGAGCTAAGATATCCCAACAACAACAGGCGCTGGAATTTCAAACGGTTGAATGTGTCAGTTCTACAGGACTATCTACAACAGGTGCATTGGGATGTTCACCCTCAACTTGATGTGGGTGCTCACTGGAACTTTCTATTACACACGCTCTTATGTGCTACAAAGCAGTCAGTCCCTCAAACGGTCCTTAAAATCCACATGTAACCTACAATCATCAAAAACCGCACTCTTCGTTTGCTAAGCCGTAAAAGGCACTGTTGGGCAGAATACAAACGAACCAACAACAATGGCGAGTACAGGCAATACAAACATATAAGGAACATATGTACGAAGGCTATAAGAGAAGACAGGCTTCAGTACCAGTTAAAGCTCATGGATAAACTTATTTCCAATCCGAAAAGCTTATTCCGTTACGCAGCCTCTCTTCGTCAGGCCAAAACTGGAGTTTCTCAACTGCTAGGTCCTAACGGCCCGACCGATAATGACGGTGACGCCGCTATCCTCCTGGCTGAGCAATACTCCCGGACATTTCAACCGTCCCACATCAACTATACTGATGACGGCTCTATCTGCAACTGCACAGGACTTTCCGTAGTGAAACTGAGCGCTGACTTGGTTTTCCGGAAACTGCAACACCTAAGAACAGACACTTCTCCAGGTCCAGATATGGTCCACTCTGCTATACTGAGGGAAGCAGCTAAGTCGAGGCGAACTACCGGAAAATTGGAAGCTGGCTCATACCACACCAATTTTCAAAAAAGGTCGACGCAGCAAACCTACAAGTCACCGACCAGTGGTTCTTCTCTCTATACCTTCAAAAATCATGGAGTCCTTGATATACGATGCTATACACGACTATCTGCTGTCCTTAAATTTCATCTCAACCCAGCAGCATGATTTCAGGAAGGGTTACTCGTGTATGACCGACCTGCTGATCGCCGTGGACAGATGGACAAGCATCGTTGATCGCAAATGGAAGGTGGACATCATTTACCTTGATTTCTCCAAAGCTTTTGATAGGGTTAACCAGATCTGTCGTATCAATAAGCTCAGATAATTGGGTATCAAACCTTCTTTAATTGACTGGCCCAGTTCATGTCTGACAAATCGACATCTTAAGGTCACGGTCAACTTTAATTTATCTCAGGCTATGGAATGTCCTAGTGGGGTCCCCCAAGACTCAATACTAGGACCTCTCCTCTTCCTGATTTATATAAATGATCTTCCTCAACAGGTAACGTCAGACTTACTACTTTCTGCCGATAACGTGAAACTTTGGAGAGAGATACGCAACCAAGAGGATATACAGGCACTTCAGGAGGATCTGACTCGACTCCAAAGTTGGGCAGACGACGACGGACTTACCTTTAACACTTCAAAGTGTAAAGTAGTCCATCTACGACATGTCGCAGACTACAGTTACAACTTAGGGAACTCCTCTCTAGTAGTATCCCGAGTCGAAAAAGATTTAGGAGTCCTGGTGCCCTACGACTTAAAGTCTTACGCCAACTGTGACAGAAATGCCTTTCGAGCAAACCTTGCACTGATAACATTGAAGCGCATTTTTGGTCAGTTTGACGGGAGAACTTTCCACATAATCTTCAATAGTTTCGTTCGTCTCCACTTAGAGTACGGAAACATAGTATTCCCTCCGACACTCCAAAAAGAAAGGGACACTCTGGAGCGTATCCAACGGCGAGCCACGAAATCAGTTCGGGGACTCATTTAAACCTTACGATGAGCGCCTCCAATCACTCGACCTTTACCCATTAGAGTATAGGCGTCATAGAGGTGACCTTCTTATGGCTTACAGTATCCTTAACACTTCTGGACATCCTCTTAAACAACTACTTAAGCTTAGTCCCAATACTAACCTAAGGGGTAACACCCAGAAATTGGAGATACAACATAGTAGAACGGACTGCAGGCACAACTTCTACTGCTTAAGAGTTGTCAAATGCTGGAATTCGCTACCGGATGAGCTAGTCCAAACGCCTTCCCAGGAGTCCTATAAGAGGCGACTTGACCTATTCTTAAGGACTAAGGGTAGTATCTTACTATGATTTACCAATTTCTTTTTTTCCTCTTTTATCGTTAATATACCTAGGTTCTTGCCTGGAGGTATTGGTGATCCCCTTCTAATAGACACGGAAGCCTGTTAAGCGAAAGCTTCTTCTATTCCGTCCGCAATCATTTGAACCATTTAACCCAACCGAACATATAGCAAGAAAAATTGTCAAGCCATGCAACTTCTTTTGATAAGTTGTGCATCATATTACAAATGATTTTTTAAATTTCCTCCTCCAACTTGCGAGAGGATAGAAAAGTGAATTGTGTAGAGTAGTGTGTTCACATGACAACATGTGATATACATCCACTAGGACACGTCAATGTAGACCGATCAATCTCTGCCGCTACTTTTGAATGCTTTTCAACTTGTATGATTCCTAGTTTAGGTTTTGGGTGTAAGCAAATCCAAACAGCCTTGTTGACGTTCAACTCTTGTTAGTTCTGTTGCTTTCTGCCTTGTAGACTGTTCACCTGTGATCATAAGACCACTCCAGTTTCTGACCGTTTACTTATCAACCTGTTTTCTTACAATTCTGCCAACACCACAGCCTAAAATCTTTCAAGTAGCTGAAATTTCTAAAAAATTACCAGTAAAATTTTAATTTTTAGCAATCACACACTATCCATCATGTCTAACCCACTGAAAACTCTCTGCACAGTGATCATGTTCTATTGTTTCTCAATATGCCTTACATTTTTCAACAGCCGTTGTATAAAAGTTTGCGAAATTTCATTGAATAATTTTAAAAGTTAGGTGTTCCCATATCCACTATCAATCACTCTACTGCACATGATCATTAAATTCTTATTGTCATGGTTCGTAAGGTGTTCACTATCGTGGTTATATAACTATCCAAGAGTAGAGCTTCCATGGGCGAAGTATGTGAGGGTTGTTGCTGTCTCTGGGATCTCTAGGTACAATCTAAGTGTTTGTAAATATTTTGTTAACAAGTGCCCTAGATATTGGCTGTTCAAATTGGAGTTTTGAGTTCATTACAGTATCATTGTATGTTCTTTTGCAAACGATAATCTTAAAAACTCAGGTACACAATGACAAAATCCACCAGCGTCATTTTTATTGTTATGTTTTCTGTTTTATTAAAACTGGAGAAAAAGGTAGGTTGATGTGATTCAAATAAACTTTTAGCGACCATCCTTAGCCATCATTGTCGTCCTGATTACCTGCGGGCTTTTTATGTTTTCATATGAGTCTACCCAGTTCAATTACATAGGATTCCTTCTTGTTCTCGCAGCTTCATTCCTAAGTGGAATTCGATGGTCTTTCACCCAGCTTATCGTACAAGGACAATGTTATGGTAGGTTATCGAACGCTTTATTTTCCTAAGTTTGTTAAATGACGGTTCTTCAAAAACGATTATCAACTCACTAAATTCGTTTTCGGGAGTCACGATAAATTTAAACTAATTAATCAGACAATTGTAAGCTTCAATCTGATAACCGCTTTTGCCTATTATAGTAATAAAAGTTGTTGTTTCATTAGTTACCTTATCAAGTAAATGCAGATTCGACACTTTCCTTGACTAATGCTTCTCCGGAGAAAACATACGATTTCGATCTAAATTACCGATTTTTTGTTCACGATTCGCATCTCTGATATCCAGAGAAACTTGATATCCTTCGACTAGATACTCCTTCGGGAATTTAAGGCAATCCTGGGTTGTCATCCATACAATTTAAACGGCTGCCGGTATATCAAAGGAAGCGTTCTCTAAAACCAGCCTAAATGCACACACTTTCCTTAAATTTTCAACATTGCGTTACAATGTCTCACTTCTTGTTCTCTTACTTTATTCTTTTCTGTATTCCCTAATACCTGTCTCCCTATCGTCATCTGTTCTCCGTACTCCAACGAAAGGGTAACTAATTATTTCATTCGTTTACATTTGATTCCACCCTGTTGCATTGGCCGCCCACCAATGGTTTCCAATCAGTCAGTCAGCAACAACGTAGAACTTCGTACGTACGTACATCACTTCAAGTTTCCATATCACATTAGCACAGAGATACAATTGTCTATTCAAATCACATGGTGGTAGAGGTAGTAAAAGTATAAGCAGTAATCGGAAAGATCAGGGTTTGAAGATGTTATTCAAGGATTATAGTCCACTGGAATATATTTGGAAAGAAAATAAAGGACATGAAGAATCCAGAAGATTAGAGTTTGAGAGAACACAGAAAGTGGATGCACCTGCGCATTGCAAACGATTTTGAGCCATGTCATTCAAGGTCGCTAACCATCGGTTGCTATCATCTCGCGGTCCCCAACCAGGTAGCCTTCACCTACCAACATGGCTCAGTCCACTTGTCAGTGACTGCATGGATTTGTGCCATGTTTTGGTCTGGCCGCCCCTAGCATTCTTTCAACCTACTCCTACACCATAAAACATCGCACGTCGGGGCAGTTGGTGGTTAAGCATACGTAACACGTTTCCCAGCCATCTCGACTGATGAAGTTTCACTACTTCATCAATTGATTTGCCATCCTTACCTAGTACCCGTTTCCTAACAACTGAGTTACTTACTCGGTGGTCCCAGGATATACGAGCAATGTTTCGAAGACACCTATGATCAAATACTAGTAACCTACGAATATCCTCTACTCCTACCGGCCATGTTTCACTGCCATAAAGTAGGACGGGACGAACTGCTGCACAGTAAACCCGTCCTTTGGTTGATAGACGGATATCTCGCCTACGCCACAAATGGCGCAAGTTGGCAAAAGCTATTCGAGCCTTCTGTAACCGTGCTTAGATTTCGTCACACACCAGACCACAAGGGCTGATGAGACTTCCCAGATAAGTGAAGCAGTCGATACGCCTAACTACTTCACTTCTTATGATTAGTTAGGGCGTCGATGCAACCCAATCCTGAAGTAACACTTTTCATTTCGAGGGAGAGAATCGCATGCCGAACATGCTTGCATTGTTGCTTACGGTGGTCAGAAGACTGCATTTTGTCAGCGTCTTCACCAAATAGAACTATGTCATCTGCATACTATAGGTCAACAAGTGAATCTTTCGGTAGAAGTTTAACCCCTGGGAAGTCAGATGTGGATAGTGTTATATCTAAAAGCACGTCAACGACAAGGTTAAACAAGAATGGAGAGAATGGACAGCCCTGACGAACACCACTTGAGGAAATCAGTTCTGATGACAGTTCGCCATAAGCCGGCGACCATACCACGTTGAAAGCACCGGTTCCCGTCTGACCATCGCAGTTAAGCAACGTTGGGCCTGGTCAGTACTTGCCCCCAAATGTCCTAGTATGGCTGAGAGTTGGATGGGTTCGCCCTCCCTCTCGAAATACTCACACGGCCACGTGTATACAGCCTCTGCCAGGGAAGTCCTACTCACTGCCTTCTCGTGGCGGGGGTGTTGCTCACAAAAATGAGAGGACGAATCGCGAATGTCTGGCGCTATAACCGGATCCCAAATCAATGGTGCACACGGGCTTCAGTATCCTGCGGGAACATATGTCGTATGAACCAATGTCTTGGTCACCGGCTTCCATGGGACTGCATCTTCTCACGATGCTCCACTGCCTTGTGGGTTAGACCTTTAGGTCAAAGGCTCGGGGTGTGGCCCCCTAAGAAAACTATCTGCTTCGGTCTGGGCACCCGGGCAGTATCTCAGCCCACACACACAAAAACATGATGAACTGTCTACTTATGGAAAATGTTCTTCTTGCTTCGCTTAACAATCAAATGACTCGCATTGTTATTATTATTACTACCATTGTTATTATTATTATTTACTACATCAATTATTTACTCTCTTTTATTCTTACTTTGTGTATCCTTATTTTTTGACTTATACAGCAGCTCGCCTATGGTGAAAATTCGGCTCTATCTAAACGTTCTCGAGTCACAGAGACGATAATGCAATTGGTGTCACCATCTTGAAACACCGACTTCGGTGGCTTGGACATGTTCTACGAATGTCGTCCCAGAGAATTCCACGTCGTGCATTATTTGCCGACTCTGGGACTGGTTGGAAAAAGCGGAGGTGGTCAGTGTATGACATGGTGTCGTGGTATGAAAGGAAGTTGCAAAGCGCTGGCTTGTGTTGGTCCTTCACAACTCCCTGACTGGGGTCCGAAAGATGGTGTAACGCAGTGGCTAGAGACGTTATCAGATATGGCTCAGAATAGAAGCCAGTGGCGATCCTGCTGTAACCTTCTTTTACTTTCTTCATAAAAAGTGGTTGTATCTTCCTTAACTGAAAGATTCCTTCTGGTTGTACCTTTTTGTTTCCCCCACTATTACTACTATTACACTACCTTACACTAATTTGGTCGTTATTGTTCTCTCTCTTTTTTATATATTCCCTACGTTCCTTACCTTTTTTCCCTTCTCTCTAAATTCTCATTGTTTTGTGTGTCGCATATATATATATTTGGTGCCCCCTCGTACCAATATTTATGTGTTCAAATAAAATAAATAAATAATAAATCTCCATAAGCTCTCACTTGACCAAATGTGTTCGAGTAGAGAGCATTCAAGCTTAACGAACCTAGCAGAGCCTTTATATAGTTAATGCACTTCTTTCGTACTTCTTTCAGTGACAAACACTGCCATAGAACCTCACGATCAACAGAGTCAAATGCCGCCTTAAGGTCGAGAAATACTACCATTGTGGGGCGTCTGAATGTGTGTCTATGTTCTAGGACCTGACGTAGTGTGAATACATGGTCTATACAACCACGTCCAGGTCGAAAACCAGCCTGGTTTTCTCTAGTCTGCTCTTCACGAGATTTGGTTAGACGTCGAAGTATTATTGAAGCTAATATTTTAGATACTACATTAGTCAAACTAATTCCTCTGTGATTGTCACAAGAAGACTTTTGTCGTTTCTTATAGACTGGTACAATCAGTGATTGAGACCAGTCAGATGGGATTACGTCCAGTTCCCAGATTCTACCTAAGACCTCAGTCAATCTCTCTGCTGAAACTGGACCACCATCCTTGAAAATCTCATGGGTAAACCTGTCAGGGCCTGCTGCTCTCCCACGCTTCAGATTTCCTATAGCTTTTTCAACTTCGTAAAGAGTTGGAGGACTTTCATCAACTCTCCATTCAGGTCGTGGGAAACCGAAGTATGGCTGAAGGTCAGTTGAACTGATACCTAAATTGTTCTGCCCATCGACCCAATCCCCTGGAATGACTTACTTACTTACGCCTGTTACTCCTCGTGGAGGAGCATTGGCCACCCATCAGCACTCTCTATCCAACCCTGTCCTGGGCAATCCTTTCTAGCTCTTTCAAGTTATTCTTTTTCATATCTGCTTCTATTTCCCAACGTTAATGTGTCCTTTGGCTTTCCTATTTTCCGCTTCCCTTCAGGATTCCAAGTTAGGGATTGCCTCATGATGCAGTTAGGTAATTTCCGTATTCTATGTCCTATCCACTTCCAACATCTTTTCCTAATTTACTCCTCAGCTGGAAGTTAGTTTGTCCTCTCTCACAGTATACTGTTGCTGATGTTATGCGACAAACGGATATTGAGTATCTTGGGTAGAGAACTGTTTATGCCCCCGAATGCCCTGGTACGGCCGAAAGTGGGGAGAGTCCGCTCTCCCTCTCGAAATGCTCTCACATGGCCATGCGTATATAGCCTCTGCCAGGGAAGTCCTACTCACTGCCTTCTCGTGGCGGGGGTGTTGTTTACAAAAATGAGAGGACGAAAAGCGAATGTCCGGCGCTTTAACCGGACCCCAAACCAATGGTGCACATGGGCTCCAGTATCCTGAAGGAACGAATGGCGTATGAACCAATCGTTGGTCACCGGCTACCATGGGACTGCATCTCCTCCCGATGCTCCACTGCCTTGTGGATCAGACGTTCAGGTCGAAGGCTCGGGGTGTGGTCCCCTAAGAAAACCACCTGCTTCGGTTTGATCACCCGGGCAGTATCACAGCCCTCACACAAATCAATTGAGATTCGTGTGGCGCATGTGTATTTTGTGCCTCCCTGTACCTATACTTATGTGTTAAAATGAATAAATAAATAAATGACGTTCGGATTAACGATTCTGACTTTGATATTGGTTGACAGTTGGTTTGAGTTCCATATGTTCTTCAATTGTAGGAATGAAGGCCTAAATTTGCCAATCCTTGCCTTTACATCTGCATCAGATCCTCGTTCATCAATGATGCTCCCTAACGTGAAAGATTCTACATCTTCCACAGTTTTGCCATCAAGTGTGATTAGGTTGGTATTCTCCGTGTTGTATTTGAGGACCTTGGTTTTCCCCTTGGGTGTCTTGAGGTCTACTGATGCAGAGGCTGCTACTAAACTAGTTGTTTTCATCTGTATTTGTTCGTATGTATGGGATAGGAGGACTAGGTCATCTGCGAAGTCCAAATTGTCCAATTGGTTCTGAGCTGTCCATTGTATTCCGTTCTTCCCCTCAGATATCGAGATCTTCATAATCCAGTCAATCACCAGCGGAAAGAGGAAGGGGAGAGTAGACTGCATTGTCTGACTCCGCTCCTTGCTTGGAATGCATCTATCAGCTGTCCTCCATCCACCACATTGCACTGTAGTCCGTCGTATGAGTTCCGGATAATGTTGACAATCTTCTCAGGAACTTTATAGTGTCGAAGAAGTCTCCATAATGTTCTCCTATCTACACTGTTAAACACCTTCTCATAATCAATGAAGTTAATGTATAGTGACGAGTTCCACTCAACTGATTGTTCAGCGACGATCCGTAGTGCCGCAATTCGGTCTGTGTACGACCGATCCTTAGGAAATCCAGCCTGTTGATCTTTAAGTTGGGCGTCTACTGCGTCTTTCATCGGATCCAGCAACACCATGTTGAAGACTTTCCCTGATACTGACAGTAGTGTGATGCCTCTGTAGTTTTCACATTTGCTCAGATCTCCTTTCTTTGGAATCTTGATGAGGTGTCCTTCTTTCCAGTCCATCAGCACTTGTTCCTCCCAAGTCTTCTTGAATAGAAGGTGAAGCATGCTTGTAGTTACTTCGATGTCTGACTTCAGTGCTTCAACTGGTATATTGTCAGGTCCTGCTGCTTTCCCGCTCTTAATTTGTCTGATGGCTATCCTGATTTCTTCGTTTGTTGGTGGAGTGACATCTATAGGAAGGTCTGTGTGCTGCTTCGATGTCCAGAGGATTCAATAGAGCTGGTCTATTCAGGAGTTCCTCAAAGTACTCTACCCATCTGTTCCTCCGTTCTTGAATTTCGGCGATTGGCCTGCCTTCTTTGTCCTTGACCAGTCTCTCTGGTTTACTATATCTCCCTGCTAGTTTCTTCACAGTGTCATATAGTTGTTCCATATATTCTTCTCTTGCAGCTTTTTCCGCTGTCACTGCTAGGTCTTCCATGTATTTCTACTTGTCGGCTCTAATGCTCCTCTTCACTTGCTTGTTTGCTTCGGTGTATTCAGCTTGTGACTTGACTTTCTCTGTTCTTGTTCGGTTGTTGCTAATTGCTGTCTTCCTGAATTTTGTGCAGGGTTTCCATAAAGATCCATTCCTTATGATGATGCTTTTTGCGGCCCAGGACCTCCTGACACGTTGAAGTTAATGCTTCCTTGATCCCTTTCCAGTTGTCCTTTATAGTAGTTTGTTCTTTCAGTAGATCCTGTAAGGCTTGGAACCTGTTGTTGTGAGCTATCTTGAATTCGTTGAGTTTGTCAATATCTCGAAGGAAGGCTGTATTGAACCCTTGTAGTGCTGTTTGTCCAGTGCTTCTTTAGCTTCAGTTTTAAACTGGCCACAACTATGTGGTGATCTGAAGCTATATCAGATTCTCCCTTGGTTCTCATATCGTCAATTGTCCTTCGGAATTTTTTATTGATGCAAATATGATCTATCTGGTTCTCTGTGGTGTGGTCCGGTGAGATCCATGTAGCTTTGTGTATACGTTTGTGTGGAAATATCGTGCCGCCTATGACCAATTTGTTGAATGCACACAGATTTGCAAATCTTTCCCCATTTTTGTTTCTCTCTCCCAGTCCATGTCGTCCCATGATATCTTCATATCCGGTGTTGTCTATTCCGACTTTGGCGTTTAGGTCTCCCATCAGAATGGTGAGGTCCTTTCTTGGGCACTTCCCTATGATTGATTGCAGCCTATCATAGAACTGATGTTTATCGTCTCCGTTTCTATCATTGGTGGGTGCATAACACTGGATAACACTCATTGTAATTCCCTACTTATTTGTTATGAAGAATACGTTGATGATTCTGGATCCATGATATTCCCATCCTATAAGTACATTTCGTGCTCCTTTGGACAGAATCAGAGCAACTCCCTGAGTATGTGGAGCATTTTCTTCTTCGTGACCCGAGTACAGTAGTATCTCTCCCGAATCTAACCTTTTCTGTCTAGCTTGGGTTCAGTGAGTTTCACCTATTCCGAGCACCGTAAAATTGTATCTCCTCGTTTCCGTAGCTATTTGATTAGATCTCCCGGTCTCCCACATTGTCCGAACATTCCATGCACCGATAAAAGTTGTTGCTCTGGTTGTTAGAATGAGCATCGGTCTCGTGACATCCGAAGAATATCGGTGTTTACTGTGAGGTGTCATAATTCTTCTGAATGATGACCCTTCAACTCCTAGGGGAGAGTTTAAATGGTTTGAATTATTTTTTCTGGTTAGCGTTTTTTAGCGAGTTCATTTCCTACGAAATGGGGTCGCTAACCCGATGCCCAACCCTCCTCCTTTACCCGTGCTTGGGATCGGCAGTAACCCTAGAATAGCTACAACTGGTAGTATTTCTCGACCTTAAGACGGCATTTGACTCTGTTGATCGTGAGGTTCTATGGCAGTGTTTGTCACTGAAAGGAGTACCAAAGAAGTGCATTAACCTTATAAAGGCTCTCTACTCGAACACAACTGGTCGAGTGAGAGCTTACGGCGAACTGTCATCAGAACTGATTACCTCAAGTAATGTTCGTCAGGGCTGTCCACTCTCTCCATTCTTGTTTAACTTTGTTGTTGACGTCCTTTTAGAGATGACACTTTCCTCATCTAAATTTCCAGGAGTTGAACTTCTACCGGGAGATCCACTTGTTGACTCAGAATATGCCGATGACATAGTTCTATTTAGTGAAGACGCTGACAAAATGCAGAGTCTGTTGACCACTCCAAGCAACAATGCAGGTAGCATCGCTACAGGTATGGCAACTCGAACTGATGTACTCACGTACGAAGTTCCACGTTGTTGCTGACTGACTGACAAGTGGAGCTAGTCAATTACACGTCACACTAAATTAGTGGGATGGAATTAGATATTGTATCTCCATTATATTTACCTAAAAAATTGTTATTAAAATGTACCATAATTTCATGTTTAACGGAGGAACATACAGACTACTGGATGGATTAGCAGCAGGTTCGCCAATGAGTCACAAACTAGCCGATATTTCCTCAGCAGCAATGCAGGTAGCATCGCTACAGATGTTGGTTGTCCAAGGGAAACGCCTTACTGCTGTCACACCACTCTACAGTCAGTAGTACGACTTCGCCATCCGAGTTGCTACTTTTAGTTTTACCGTTCTCCAACCGCCCCGCCTTGCATGGTAGAACCTACAGAAACATATATTTCAGCCTTTATAGGCAAACTGTTAAGTTCGTTACGCTTGACTGCTACTACTGATTCGTCTTACTCGGAATGGAACGAAGAATTAAGGATTCAGAGACTCGATAGGTTATTCTGGTCCGTTGAACCCGACTCAGCTAACTCGATCAAGAAGTCTTGGTAAGACGTAGAAAGTGTATTCTGCAGGCAACCAGAAGATACCAGGTCAATCAGGCAAACAAATCAAGCGTATTTGTACAAAAATGTATGATCGATATTGCCATTGAAGTTTTTAAACATTCAATCGATAAGTTCATCAATCGGCTATGTGCGTGGGTGGTCAGAAATGCCCAAGCATACGTCGGCATACAAGCTCCACAAAGATAAAATTACAAAATATGAGTTTTGGGGATCTAACGTTCACAACACAAACCCAACCAACAAATCAAGGTAGCAGCTATGTACTAGGCCTCCCTTTCCAGTTGTTCCTAAGTGCCGTTCATTGTCTTAGTCTCTACCTCCGATTCCCAACCCCATGTGTTCTTTGGTCTGACTTTTTTTTTCTTGCCGTGGAGATTCCAAGTTGCGGCCCACTTTGTAATGCAGTGTGATGGTTTTCGAAGTGTTTATCTGCTTTCAGCATTTTTACTTAATTTCCTCTTCGATTGGCAGCTAATCTTTTCTCCGTCAGAATAGGTTATTGCTTGTAGTATCTGACTAGTAAAACTGAAGCATCTTACGTCGATAGCAGCTACAAATACCTGTGCCTTTTTGATGGTGGCTGTGGTAGTTACCTGAGTTTCAGCTCCATACAGTAGAACTGTTTTGATGTTATCGGTAAAGATTCTGATTTTGGTGTTGAGTGACATTTCATTGGAGTTCCATGTATTCATCAATTCAAGAATGCTCCTCTTACTCTGTCAGTTCATCCTCCGATATTTGCGTCAGACACTCCTTGTTTGTCGTTACTGCTACCTATGTGCGTCAAGATTTCCACCTATTCCAGAACTTTCGCAAACGTGATTCGGTTGGCAACCGTAGTGTTATACCTCGGGATCGTGCCTTTTTTCTTTGTGAATAAATGTTATTCTTGGGTTTTTGCTAGAGACCTAGTCATACTTTAATGCTTCTAAATTATCCCTATTTCGTAGGTCTTTCTCATCCTATTGATTTTATGTTCCACTCACAACCATGGATGGCACTGGCTATTTTGCCCCTTTCTCTTTACATTGAAGGTAAGTTATTTTACCATCGGATCCATTATATCACTTTCCTTGTTGTGTATTCCCAATAATTTCTAGACAATTTTAAATCGGTTAAAAACAAACTAAATTTGTCTTCGTAATGACTGAAGTTTTCAGTACTGTGTGGTGGGTAATATTTATTATTAATGATTTCTGTGCTACTTATTCTGAAATATATAAAATGTCTCCTTATCCCAAGTAGTTGTGAAGTGTTGAACGTGGAGTCGTAAGGCCAATAATCCTGTCATTATTGATGTGATTTGCAGCTAAGTATGTTGTAGAACATATAAAATCACTGCATCATTTCGACTAGCCACAGCCTTCAATCAGATAGAAACATCTGTAAGAAGAATAATAGCTCTGGAACAGACAAGGAAAAGATGTCTCAAAAAATTGCTATCAGGAAGTGCTTTGTTGTATTGCTTTTTTAGTTATATTAGTTACGTCACAGGTTTTTGGACTGTTTTTAAACCGATTTTATTTACCATCAAAGTTAACTCGACCCCTTACACATGGAAAGCATTCGAAACAATCATCCAATTATCTAACTTTAAACCAATGAATGAAGATTATTCCTGAAGATCTAACCATTATTTAACAACTGTATAATTCTCGGGAAATGCGCGAAATTTTTATGCTCCCTTAGAAAGTTATTTTCCATAGCAACATCTGACAGGATTATGTCATTTTTCGTCGTAGTTTTGTTTAGGGACCCTTTGATAAATAAATAATCCAAGATAATGCACAAGCATTAAAAATATGGGGTATTTTCATTCTTTTGGAATACCTCTAATTTAAACAGTTTAAAAAAAGTCATTTGTTTATTTAACCACATATAGCACTATCAGCGTCAGAAAAGTTTGCCACACTCCTTTAATTTCAAATATTATGTGGTAACCTACGTACCAACCAAACAAGGTGCTTTTTAGGTTGGTCAGCTACATTACGTTTTGTGACTTAAAATAAATCTGTACATGCTATATGATGCCGTTCTTTTGTGTAACACATATTACTTATTAGCTTACTGGTATCATGTACGGGGTGCAGGCGTTCATCATTATTCTATTATAAAGCTCCACTGACTGAAAAATGTTCCATCATCGGTCTTGTAATTGTCGGTTTATTTAAGCGCTCGAATAAATCAGTATATATTAGTACATTGGTTACTCCGTCTATTTGGGTAAATTTCTTCAAGAAAATCAGGTTAAATTTCCCTATTCGCGCGACTTAAAAGATAGTATCATGACATCTGATTGTTTTTAAAATGAGATGTAATTTTCAAAACGTCTATTATCCTATTTTAACTGAAATAAGTTAATACGTCAAGTGTTGTGTGATTAGTAATCGGTGTAAGAATTAGGTAATATAAGGTGAGGGAAGTAATAATGTAACTACTACATAAAGTTTAACGTGAAGTGAGTCCCAATTTAATTCTTCATGTGTTTACAGGTCTATTAATTATAATAATAATAATAATAATAATAATAATAATAATAATAATAATAATAATAATAAAAAAAGGAAATGTGAATAATAACATCAGTTATGCTTGAGTAGGTTATATCTAACATATGGAGATAAAGAGGAGATCTATTTTTGCTTTATTTGAGTTTGTTCATCTTACAGTTAGGATGCACGTTGACTTTTGTGGCTTGAGCTTTTACATGATAAAAAAGGTGCACCAATTTCTTTTGTATACAAAGCTCCGTTTGTTAACGCACATGGCTACTGCTTATATTTGTTTTTGGATGAAGGTAGGTCTCAAGTACTTGGATAAACAACTACTAACACTACAAATCACTGTAAACTGACTGTATCGTTAGTAACAAATAGACGAGGATAGGACTGTTGGCTATTTTAAATAAATTTTATAACCATTCTGAGGAGTGTTCGTTAACACGGGAATGTGAATATCTAGGATATTTAGTTTACCCCATAGGAGCAGTAGTATTGTTTGGTACGAAGATATGACTGGTCTAGGTAATTTTTGCCTCAATCTCATAGTCCTCATCTGACGCTTAGAAAATATTAGTTGCAGTTTTTCTTTATTGAGCGTTATGTGAAGCGTTCAGCATAATTTCATCATTAGCATTTCACTGGGTGCGCCATTCCTAAGTTTTGGTCGCATAAACAAAGATTCTTTGGTTACCATGAACGTCCACGAGCTACCATTTTTGTTTTGAGTATTAGTCAACATATTCCTTACCCAACTGCATCTGGAGAACATATAGTCCTTATTCTACGATAGTCTTCATATTTATTTTACATTGTAGAGGAAAAAGCTCAGAATTCGCGTATTAAGTCGTTCAAGTCCCTTTCTTGTTTAGGTTCCTTTTGAGTGATCCATCTACTTCTTCATCATTTAGAGATCTAGAAAGGCTTTTCTATCTGTGCTTTATTTCTCGTGTGTGAATTTAACAGACGAGTAAGCATCACTGAATCTCTTGAAAGTCCAACCAGTTGGCACAATCTTTACACAGAATTAAAATATCATCTATGTATCGACGGTAAAGGGAAAACTTATCAATAAGTTGTGCAAGTGGCCAATTTTTCAGTTTAGCTGAGGAAATATCGGCTAGTTTGTGACTCATTGGCGAACCTGCTGCTAATCCATCCAGTAGTTTGTATGTTCCTCCGTTAAACATGAAATTGTGGTACATTTTAATAACAATTTTTTAGGTAAATATAATGGAGATACAATATCTAATTCCATCCCACTAATTTAGTGTGACGTGTAATTGACTAGCTCCACTTGTCAGTCAGTCAGCAACAACGTGGAACTTCGTACGTGAGTACATCAGTTCGAGTTGCCATACCTGTAGCGATGCTACCTGCATTGTTGCTTGGAGTGGTCAACAGACTCTGCATTTTGTCAGCGTCTTCACTAAATAGAACTATGTCATCGGCATATTCTAAGTCAACAAGTGGATCTCCCGGTAGAAGTTCAACTCCTGGAAATTTAGATGAGGAAAGTGTCATCTCTAAAAGGACGTCAACAACAAAGTTAAACAAGAATGGAGAGAGTGGACAGCCCTGACGAACATTACTTGAGGTAATCAGTTCTGATGACAGTTCGCCGTAAGCTCTCACTCGACCAGTTGTGTTCGAGTAGAGAGCCTTTATAAGGTTAATGCACTTCTTTGGTACTCCTTTCAGTGACAAACACTGCCATAGAACCTCACGATCAACAGAGTCAAATGCCGTCTTAAGGTCGAGAAATACTACCAGTTGTAGCTATTCTAGGGTTACTGCCGATCCCAAGCACGGGTAAAGGAGGAGGGTTGGGCATCGGGTTAGCGACCCCATTTCGTAGGAAATGAACTCGCTAAAAAACGCTAACCAGAAAAAATAATTCAAACCATTTAAACTCTCCCCTAGGAGTTGAAGGGTCTTCATTCAGAAGAATTATGACACCTCACAGTAAACACCGATATTCTTCGGATGTCACGAGACCGATGCTCATTCTAACAACCAGAGCAACAACTTTTATCGGTGCATGGAATGTTCGGACAATGTGGGAGACCGGGAGATCTAATCAAATAGCTACGGAAACGAGGAGATACAATTTTACGGTGCTCGGAATAGGTGAAACTCACTGAACCCAAGCTAGACAGAAAAGGTTAGATTCGGGAGAGATACTACTGTACTCGGGTCACGAAGAAGAAAATGCTCCACATACTCAGGGAGTTGCTCTGATTCTGTCCAAAGGAGCACGAAATGTACTTATAGGATGGGAATATCATGGATCCAGAATCATCAACGTATTCTTCATAACAAATAAGTAGGGAATTACAATGAGTGTTATCCAGTGTTATGCACCCACCAATGATAGAAACGGAGACGATAAACATCAGTTCTATGATAGGCTGCAATCAATCATAGGGAAGTGCCCAAGAAAGGACCTCACCATTCTGATGGGAGACCTAAACGCCAAAGTCGGAATAGACAACACCGGATATGAAGATATCATGGGACGACATGGACTGGGAGAGAGAAACAAAAATGGGGAAAGATTTGCAAATCTGTGTGCATTCAACAAATTGGTCATAGGCGGCACGATATTTCCACACAAACGTATACACAAAGCTACATGGATCTCACCGGACCACACCACAGAGAACCAGATAGATCATATTTGCATCAATAAAAAATTCCGAAGGACAATTGACGATATGAGAACCAAGGGAGAATCTGATATAGCTTCAGATCACCACATAGTTGTGGCCAGTTTAAAACTGAAGCTAAAGAAGCACTGGACAAACAGCACTACAAGGGTTCAATACAGCCTTCCTTCGAGATATTGACAAACTCAACGAATTCAAGATAGCTCACAACAACAGGTTCCAAGCCTTACAGGATCTACTGAAAGAACAAACTACTATAAAGGACAACTGGAAAGGGATCAAGGAAGCATTAACTTCAACGTGTCAGGAGGTCCTGGGCCGCAAAAAGCATCATCATAAGGAATGGATCTTTATGGAAACCCTGCACAAAATTCAGGAAGACAGCAATTAGCAACAACCGAACAAGAACAGAGAAAGTCAAGTCACAAGCTGAATACACCGAAGCAAACAAGCAAGTGAAGAGGAGCATTAGAGCCGACAAGTAGAAATACATGGAAGACCTAGCAGTGACAGCGGAAAAAGCTGCAAGAGAAGAATATATGGAACAACTATATGACACTGTGAAGAAACTAGCAGGGAGATATAGTAAACCAGAGAGACTGGTCAAGGACAAAGAAGGCAGGCCAATCGCCGAAATTCAAGAACGGAGGAACAGATGGGTAGAGTACTTTGAGGAACTCCTGAATAGACCAGCTCTATTGAATCCTCTGGACATCGAAGCAGCACACAGACCTTCCTATAGATGTCACTCCACCAACAAACGAAGAAATCAGGATAGCCATCAGACAAATTAAGAGCGGGAAAGCAGCAGGACCTGACAATATACCAGTTGAAGCACTGAAGTCAGACATCGAAGTAACTACAAGCATGCTTCACCTTCTATTCAAGAAGACTTGGGAGGAACAAGTGCTGATGGACTGGAAAGAAGGACACCTCATCAAGATTCCAAAGAAAGGAGATCTGAGCAAATGTGAAAACTACAGAGGCATCACACTACTGTCAGTATCAGGGAAAGTCTTCAACATGGTGTTGCTGGATCCGATGAAAGACGCAGTAGACGCCCAACTTAAAGATCAACAGGCTGGATTTCCTAAGGATCGGTCGTACACAGACCGAATTGCGGCACTACGGATCGTCGCTGAACAATCAGTTGAGTGGAACTCGTCACTATACATTAACTTCATTGATTATGAGAAGGTGTTTAACAGTGTAGATAGGAGAACATTATGGAGACTTCTTCGACACTATAAAGTTCCTGAGAAGATTGTCAACATTATCCGGAACTCATACGACGGACTACAGTGCAATGTGGTGGATGGAGGACAGCTGATAGATGCGTTCCAAGCAAGGAGCGGAGTCAGACAATGCAGTCTACTCTCCCCTTCCTCTTTCCGCTGGTGATTGACTGGATTATGAAGATCTCGATATCTGAGGGGAAGCACGGAATATTTTGCACGTGTAATTGGAAGCCGACATCAAAAGAATTATTGGCAACCGTAACGGATTACTCAGTTCAGATTTCGGTTAAGAATCCCGGTGAGCGGTTTATGCTCCTTTACTTTTAGTAACATAAGTATGCAATTATTATATACTTTTTCCATGAATAAATCATCTTTTATTTGCGATGTCGCACCCAAAGATGAAGTAGTGTGTTCTCTGGTGCCTAAACATTTGATTGTCTGAGAACTGAAATACTTTACTGCACTTCGCTTGACAATCTGTTTATGAGGTGGTTTCAAAATGATCTCTCATCATTTCTATCTATGTAGACTTTAAAAATAAAGGGATATCCATCTTTCTATGATCTAAAGGGTTGTATATCGCAGAATTCCAAAATTATTGTTAGTTCTCCAAATTTTTCCTTGGTTTTTTTAATAATCGAGATGCTATAAACATACATCTAAGGTCCGCTTAGGAAATGTTTTTCACTTTTTAACTGTATTCCTTCGGGACATAATTTAAAATTATAGAGCCTTGTGACTTTTTTGGTGAAAATATTATTCGTTCATATACCTATGTTACCAATATTCTGGATATTTTCAGACGAATAATATTGCAATTTGTTTTATGACTTTCCTAGGTTTTGAACTCATAACAGCAAAGAATCTTTTTCGCACCGATGCCTTTGATCAGTTAATAGGCGACTTAGTCCAGCTAGGTACAGGAGCTTTGTTAGCATTCGGTCTTGAAATATCAGAATATCTTGTTGTTAGTTCTGCTTCAAGTTTGACTTTATCAGTTGCTGGTATATTTAAGGTTAGTTCCCAATATTTATTTGTAGAAATGTTTTGTTGTGTTGTTTCTCAATGTACTTTTCCAAGGCTATTCAGATTATGTGGAAATTGATAATGACTAATTATTTCCTTATTTTCGTTGTTATCAAAGCTCATACTCAGGTAATCCATAATTCTTTTTCTTCTGATTTAATGCTTTCTGGGTAAGTGTTCAATAATCTCTAGTTAAGTTTGTGTCCTATTATTTTGTTTAGGACAAAAAACAGTTTGCAATATAAGATAAATCTACCTAAATCTCTGATATCTTACAATTTCCAAACTACATGTCTTAACAGCTAATAATAATAATAAAGAAATCGGTTATACTGGGAACTTTTTTATTGTGTACTCATAGCAAACAGTTCTCTGCACTCTGGCGGGACGTATGGTTTGTTTTTCTGCAAATTAAGGCTTACGAGCTACTTCACACTACGTATTCTAGCTAATAAGTTTCTGGCAACTGGTATTGGAAACTGAAAATGTATCACAGCTGCAATAATTTTATTAGGATAATGAACATAATATCGTTGGATTTCCGTACTACTATGATTGATGCTACCAATGAAAAGAACGTTACTAAATAGTGAGATGGTGGAGAAGATTTGTAGCTCAGGTGGATGATTTTGATGGAGTTTTGTTCTCTGAGCTGGATGGTTTGGTCGTGTTACTAAATAATTATCACAAATTTGAAGACATCCGCTTTCTTGTTAATCAACGTACATAGTACGTTGGTTTTTTGATAGTACGTTGGTTTTTTGAAGTATGGTAAGAGGTCATATCCTTGTGTACTAATTTCCTTTTTAGGTATGATATATTTTGCTTATCTAGAGCGGTTCTGTCTGGTTATCAGGATCTGTAGTGCTAATGTATGCACATGAAACTCAACCGTTTTGGTTAAGATTGTTGGTTATGAACCAGATCAGTTACCTGAGTAGGGGCATCCAGTTTGTCATGTAACTAACCGATGGGTGAAGAGAGTATTGTCAAAAAGTCTGTTGGCAATAAGCGTAGAACAGAAAGTCGATGCTATTGTTATTTAAGTAAATTAGCACTTACGAAATCGTCGAGTCTAAGCAATGGAAAATAGGCATCCGCAAGGTTTTACAAACTGAGTTATATATATATATATATATATATATATATATATATATATATATGACTTCAGGGATTATTTGTTGTACGTAAAAATTCTTATTCTCCCAATCAGAGAGTATCGTTTTATTCCGCACATTTTACGAATACGTTGCCTTCAATTTCAGGAAGTATGTACTTTGTATCTTGCTGCAAAATTTAATGGAGATAATATATCTTTCGTTAATATGATTGGCTTCGTCATCTGTTTGTGTGGAATCACGCTTCATATAGTTGCAAAAGCTGTTAACAGTATGTTGGTTTATGTTTTTATGCTCTACAACTTCATTTTTGTCTAATATGAAATATTTAAACTTACTAAACCTATTTTAAGGTGCATGAAGTCCCTTTAGTACTTACTACTGTACAACTTCATCCGTGTTTAGGATCCCACCACCGTCATCATTATAAGAACTTGTTACAAAATGCCACAAATCATAATGTCTGTAATCTGGAAATCATACTTCTCTCCAATCCTGACACTCGAATTATGTGCCACTTTTGATACAATCTGTAATTTGAGATACTGAATACTAAAAAATATCCCATTTATTTATTTATTCATTTTAACACATAAGTATAGGTACAGGGAGGCACAAAATACACATGCGCCACACGAATCTCAATTGATTTGTGTGAGGGCTGTGATACTGCCCGGGTGATCAAACCGAAGCAGGTGGTTTTCTTAGGGGGCCACACCCCGAGCCTTCGACCTGAACGTCTGACCCACAAGGCAGTGGAGCATCGGGAGGAGATGCAGTCCCATGGTAGCCGGTGACCAACGATTGGTTCATACTCCATTTGTTCGTTCAGGATACTGGAGCCCATGTGCACCATTGGTTTGGGATCCGGTTATAGCGCCGGACTTATCTAAAAGACGATACTGACTTGTTAGCAACTGTAGTCTAGAGTCTAAGCTTAAATATAACGCAAAACCTCTACAAGCAACATAGTTCACAAAAAATAATGTGACTTTGTATTTCCAGCTTTGACAAAGCACGGAATCACCATGTGTGATCTTCAGTTCCATATTACTCACGGAAACGTTTTGGGAATAATACCAAGACCTTTTCTCTGGAAAATATTAACTCTTTATAATTTTAAATTTTAACTATTATCTTTATGTAATTACCAGCATTAGGCAACGCAAACGGCTAGACTAGTTACTGCTCTATGTGAGACTTTTCAAACCAAACATGAAAACCTACAAGTAATCGAATCTAAATTTCATTAAAATTATAGTACAGTTTCGCAGTGAACGAGCACTCAGGTGGGGCAAACCAATTTATTATTTAGTGCAAAATACACAGTTGCTTAGCAAAATATGAAAATAATACACTAAATACATGATTTGCACATCTTCCTTCAGTTACCACTTACATATCACATGATTCTTCCAATCCTATTGTTATTTCAATTGTTCTATTCCCCTTCCTATTCCCAATTCAACCTGTTGGCAGGCATTCTACTTCCGACTGCAGCTACATACTGCTTGTATCTACCAACATAAGTTGCATCCACCACAGTTGTTGTATTAAAATTATCAGAAATAAGTCATAAGTTAAAACGTTATTCTACTTAACCTGATTTCTATGGTCACGTATTACGATTACCGGTTATAATCCGTAACTCAATCCAGTTTATACAAGATACAAAACAGATGGGTTGTGTCATATTTTATGTTATCCAAAACTCTCATCTGTCTCATAGCTGATTTCGTTTTAGTGACCAAACAGCCAGAATTTTTCCCATATGTGAAATAGTGTTACGTTTAATTATTTGTCGATCTGATGACATACTTGAGAAGACGGAGTTGATCTGAAATATGTGATGTATTTGCGCTATACATTCCGTACAATCTGATCGCACATATACTTGTCAGGGCATTTTATACGAAGATGAATAAAGGTCAATTACATGAAAGTTAAAGTACAAACAAACAAACAAAAAAGTAACAAAGGGGAGAGAAAGAATAAGAAATTGTCGCGTTATCCTAAGCCATAGAATGACTTAAGGAGAACCAAGGTGAATTCAAGGTTACGACAAATTGTTTTTGTACACATAAGGGGGGGTTAAATTTACGAATAGCCAAGGCTTTAATACAAGTATGTAGTTATCGTTTAACCCAGAATAACACAACTTTCAAAACATCTCAATCGAAACTCACAGAATTCATATACTAAGAATAAGGAACAAAATTAAAAATAGATAAGTATTTTATTTGAAAACAAGTTGAAGAATGGTACAGAAGTGTGCCTCGGATTAGATGTCATAAAAAATATCTCAACACATCGTAATTAATTTCTGCGGATCCAGTGTGATTCCTCAGATTTCAGGACATCTTTCGACTTACCTTGTACACAACAACCGTTACATATCTTGAAGTGACTCCCACAGAGTTTTATTCATCTATACGAGCATATACAATGGTTGTATGAGCCTTTAAACATATTTGAGAACTAACACCTAATGAGTCATGAAGGAATTCATCACATGACGTTAGTATAGTCTACCATTATACAAACTTGATGATACAGTTTACCTGTACAAGTGCTATGTATAATGAGGGTTTGATCATAATAATTTCACTGAACTGGTGGCGATAAGCAACCGAATATGTGCATTATAGCTGCTATGATTATTTATTAAGATACAACGATCTCAATTTAACAAAATCGGGATGAATTGTGACAGCTACTTTCTTCTTTTGTTAGGTAGCAAGTACGTCGGAGAAAAGTATCACTCATGAGCGAAAAAGTTTAATGAGGAATACCAATTTTACTGCGAATTTTTGAATCTATACTTTTTAATTTTCATATTTATTCATGCTTCATTTTTTTCAGTCAATTTTGGTTGACGGATAAATAAAATGAGAAACTATTATCGTCCTTCTAAATTACTGCTCACCTATTATAGTGAAAGTTGTGAATGGTCGTTTTTTCAACTGTGGAGACTAACATGTTTGCAACCCAGACATGTGCTTGACATTGTTAGTCGAATCCGAAAATCTCTAAGTTGATTGTTGTTGAAACATCAAGTTAATAATTTCTTTATTTCATGCAAAAATACTGAGACAGAGCCACTAAAATATGTATACAACACACGATAATAAGTGAGATTGCATACATATGGAGAAAGGAAGTCATAATGAATAAAGAGTGACTGATAGCAGTTCAGTTAAAAAAATACAACCAGAAAGGATTCTTTCGGTCAGAAAAGTTACTCTCACTTTTTTGAAGGAAGCAACAGTAGGATCGCCACTAGCTTCCGTTCTGAGGCATGTCCGATAACGTTAAAAGCTAGAGTGTTGCCCCGTCTGTAAGGCCACAAACAGGAAGTCGTGAAGGTCCAACAGATGCTAGTCCTATCCCTGTCTCGAAATGCTCAACATATGGATTCAAATCTCCGGCTAGTACTACAATAGTTGTCGAACGCACTTCCTTATAGGAGAATACTCAACTAGTGGTAGGAATTACCCTTGATCGTATCCTGCCAGTAATCTGTTGGTGCGTGGGCGGAGATGACGATAAGGCGTCATTTCTCACACGATTTCTCCCCACATTGTCGGAGTTTTCTACTTTAACAGCACAAAACCAACTCTCAATTGAGGTCCAATTGGCTAGTGCTGCCTCGGCTTTAGCGCTTAGTGTGGCACCCACGTCAGTGTCTCCAGATAACCGCACGTGGAACAAGCGTTCCGAAGTGATAGATAGAGGGCGAATTTACATTGCTTCACTAGAGTCTTCAATACTGTTCTCGGACAGACAACAGATGTCTATGTTGAGACTTTCTAAAGACATAAGAAACCCTATCCGTTTCCCGATCTGCACTAGTGTGCGAACGTTGGAGGCCTGCTTGAATTGCATATGTGGTTTCAGAAAGGCTGGCTCAGAATTCGTATTCGGTGGTAGTATTTATTTCGATCAGTAACTTAAGATTGTTTAAATAGAACAGGGTTCCCACCAAGGGTGAGCTGCTGTAGGAGTTGAAAGATAAAAAAATATACAAAGTGGGAATAGAAGCGTAGACAAATGATGCAATGTAGAATGTCGGATATTAAGAAATGGTTTTGATTATGATTTGTGAGAATGAAAATTAAAGCGTGAATAGGTTTTCTAACCGTAGTCATCATTTATCTTATGGGTGGACTTGGACACTGCCCGAACCAAACAGGTGGTTCGCTAGAGGACCACTCCGAGCCTTTGACCTAGGAGTCTAATCCACAAGTCAGTGGGTCAGCGTTAGGAAATACAGTCCTATGATAGCCAGTGATTGAGAATAGGTTCATATACCATTTATCTCCTTTGGATCATTGAGCTTATGTGCACCATTTGTTTGAAATTAGGATTTTCCAACTTCTCTAGGTGGATCCTCCGTACTCACCTACCCGGGTTGATCACCAGACATTTGCTTTTCGTCCTCTTGATTTGGTAATCATGACTGCCGCGAAAATCCAAATAGTTCTTGTGTCTATATTTCACTCGTCGGTGTGTTTGAAACTAACAGATTTCCACTATCTTATCTACTCTGTAGGTCTTTTGTAAGCCTTCATTGTCATGACTCGGAATATAACGAATCCGTAAGCGCTCACTTAATATTACACGCATAATTATAAAATTCCGGAATATAGGGATGGAAAAATTAACGGAGTTAAAGTAACATTTTAATTCCTTGGTATATATCTAGCGCAAAAATTAGGAATAGAAACATGTAAATTAGTGCATGCAAGCTTAGTCGTCTTTTGTGCCTTCCGATTGGTAGTCGTTGAAACCTAAAGCAGAGAATTTACAAAATTGGACGAGACATCTGTTCAGTGATCGTCACGCTAGGGCCAAAAGACTACGATTCAATCTATTTTCAAAAATATAAGAACGTTAGTACTGTGCAAAATATTTAGTATGTACATTATTCACGCAAGACATTTCGACAGCATACAATTTGAATCTAAAATACTGATTCACCTTACAAAAGCTATTTTTCGGAAATACTTATTCAATGAGTTTTGTGTAGGATATTATGCTTTCGTTTCATTTTACGGCGATTGTATGCATTTCTGGACATTAGCAACCCAGCCACATTTAAATGAGCGTTGCCACAACATCAATAACCCGAGAAAATCAAATAAGCGCTAATCGTGAGCATGTCTCATTAATTAATTTGTATTATTATCCTCGTTGACCGTGAATATCGGCTGATATTTATTTTAAATTGCTCTCAGATGTTTTTGCGATATTTGTAGAAATCTTTACAAATAATCAGTGGAGTCGATATACTTATGCAGACCTTTGTTGTGTAGCAGAAACGCTTGTTTAAAGTTTTTCTACGCGAAACAGTTGTACAAAATGTGTAGGGCCATAAAATGTCATGACTCTATCCAATGTAACCGGGAATCAGATCACTGAATGTCGAACATTTTACCAATCCACGTCAGGGCCAACGATAATGTGATCCACGCTACATATTAACCGCGGACTTCAACAAAGACTGAATAATGGTGTACTGTTTGGGAAAAAAAGACCAATCTACGAGCAATTTCAACATAGCAAATGACAGAGATAAAGAGACGTACACTGAAAAATTAATTTCTTAAAAAAAATTGGGAACAAGCAATTTTTTATTGTCTTACTAAACAGTACTCCATTAGCTGCAGTCCCCATGATTCTTGATCGTAAAAAACACAGTTGTGGCGATCCGAAATCCAAATTACTTGGTATTCGTAGTCTATGAGATGAGGTCAAACCCACAGTAATATTACACAAAATACTTTTAGCTCATGGGAAACAGAAAAAGAGAGCTTGAGATGGTCACTTATATTGTCTCTTTTATAACGATCGTTCAATTTGTCCCTCATATTATTTATAAGACTTTGTGTTGTGCTGTCTATAAACTTCCCAACGTCTTTTCCACTCATGAGTTGGGGCACTTGCAGGGTAATAATTAAAACAGTGCATCGTTACTTCCTATGTTTCAATAGAAAATAATGATTTTGTTACTTTGCCCGATTCTATTGAAATATCTGTGCGCATTAAAGGACTGACGGTTCATGTATCTATAGATGTCCCTCTATAGGTTTACTTTGAACACTCGTGAGCTAGATTTACTGTAGATACACATGCCGTTCTAGCATGTTGATAGGAACATGTAAACTTTTTGTCACAGCCCTCGTTCCTGTAATGATTTGTTCGCGCAGCTGCACACCAAGTTGACTACCGAAATTTCATTTAGCAGCTTGTTTTTTGCAATTCAGGAGTGAATTGCGTAGCATTGTTATTCTGATGAATCACCTAATAAGATTCCACTTTTTTACGACATTCGAAACTAGTACACTTAACATGAATCAATAGTAGTTCCCTGAGAATTCCATAAAGTGAAATAAGCTTTTCTGAAAATACCATAATTTGTTATTAGTAGTGCATATTCTTCCTAATCATTAATGATTATGGGGAAATAAGCTGCAATTTTGTCATATTTCACATCCCTCCTCCTCACACTCCAAAATCCTAACATTTCTGTGTTATCTTCAAAAGCTTTTGAATTTGTATGTCAAACTTCCATCTGAGGCTCAATCGCGACGCTAATGTGATTGGAAGCATTCGAATTAATATACGAAATAGGAATCCCCGAATTAACGCATTTTAAGGCAGATAGAACTAGGTGAGCACAAAAAGTAGTGTTGTATTTGAAATAAGGCACGCATCGAATACCAAGTAATCGTTAATACAACGATCTGCGAATTTCGCGCGCTATTCAAAAATGTCAGTGGTATTTTTCTCTGAGCACACGTTATAGTATTGATCGTAAAATTACTCATCAAGACATCTGAATTAGCTTAAATAAGATTTATTTTAGTTGAAGTAACCCCCAAGAGTACCGCCCTTTTTCTAGGAAGCTTATCATTTGCATTTTACGAGTACAGATACAGAAAAACTGAAGGCACTGACATTTGTTGTTCATCGTTGATTGTATCTTTGAGTATTGTTTGTATTCATATGTGTTATGATCTTTTTGTAACTACTGAAGTCGGACGTTCTATAGTTGCTAGGCGTATTTTTTATTTGTCTATAAACTTAAAACAAGTTTATGGCGAAATTGAAACGTCGTTGTGAAAGACCTACATGCTATTTCCCTGTCGATGAAGGGATGCAATAACTGTGAAGTGATAACTGCAATAAGTGGTATCACAATGTGTACACCGGACTCAAACCGGCTGCATGTAAACAATGTTGCAGACCACTATCACGTTGGTTGTGCAACGAATGATGTTCTACAAAGACTTCGCTAATCCTCGAGGCGATTGAGTAGCTGAAGATAACTAGAAAATTGCCCTCAGGTGGACAGGCAGCAGTAGATGAACAAAATTCTGGTATAGAGGAAACTGAGTGTTATGATGAGCCCAGCTCTAAATTTATTGAGATAATAATGTTGGAATTCACCAGGAAAGCAGATCAGCATACGGACGTAGAAATCGTCACAAGGAAAAAAAGCGCGCTGAGAAGAAGAAACTACCCATAAGCAGTACTGGGGCATGTTAATATACGGTTTCAGTTCCGGATTCATATGTCAATTCAATACAAACTGTGTCGAAGTCAAGTCTGAGAAGTGTAGAGGATGCTATCGAGAGACAAAATAAGATAAATGAGTAGCCTGTAGTCATCCCTAGGAAAAGTAATGTAAGAAAACGGAGTTTTATCTCTGCGTTTGTCGCGAAACCAGAATCAGATTTCAGGGAAAATACGATTTCAGGAACTA